AACATAACCACTTTAGAAGGAATGTACTACCTACCTATAATTTAAAAGTAAACTTTCACTAATAAGGTTAACTCTGAAATATATAAGCTATACATTTGGCTATATTTGGTTATGAACAAATATATATTACTTAGTTAAAGGATTTTCAAAATTATGCTCCAAGTGAATGAAATTCTTTCTTCATGCCAAGAGCTTAGGCAGCTTCCCATGTATCTCATAGGTAGAAATCTCAGAGCCAGAGATTGAATCTGGTTGAACAATGAAGGAATCTGTCTACAGTTATTTTCCATTTAGCCTTTAAAGTGAGATTTTAATGTTTGGTTATTAAAGTTATCATAAGCACCACAGCTAAATGGTACACTTTTTTGCCCAATAAGTCTGTTTTGTACCTTTTATCATGGAAAAAGTACTGTAACTCCCAGTGTGTATGACATGTCTCTTATGACTATACATCTTCTCTGTATAAATAATAAATATAAATTTATGAAGGGAATGATATAGAATTTTTTAAACTTTTATATTATTTTTTCTATATTCTAACAGGGTAGGCTCCTTAATTTAATATTAAACAAAATAGGTGTATTTATATTCATCATTTTATGGTGAATTTTTAAGATATCTTTCTAGGCCTTTCCTTGTTTTTATATTTTTTCATACAAAATTTACCTCCAAAGAAGAGTCTTCTAAAATATTTTTGCTTTTGCACATACTCATTTGAATCAAAATTCTTATTGTGATTTTGAGCATTTTGATATACTGTAGCTTTAGGCAGACACACACACACATATACAATATGTAACTATTTTTAAGAAATATTGCCTCAAAATATAATCGTATTAAGTAGTCAATTATTGAAAAGGCTTATTTATTCTTGATTTGAGTGTAACTTCTGTCTTTGATATTTATAAGGTATACTTTGCTACATAGTTGAGTTTGCAGATTGTTTCCCTCCAGCTACTTCACTATGAGCACAAAATTAATTATATATGTACCAACAGATGCCACCAATATGCAATTGAAAGTGTAGTAATAAATCTAAACTTGTCTCCCAAATAGAATTCTATTACATCTTGCCTCCTGTTACACTTCTTCTTCAGCAGTTATAAGCATAATCACAGACACAAAATGTTGACACATAAGCTTTCTAATGTAAATGGTAGATGACATTTAATATTTTA